ACGTGCTTTGCTCTTCGCGATGGAAACGTGCTCTGCAGCTGCCAGCGCCCTCGCCCAGCCTGCAGAAATCTGGCTGCTCTTCTCCCTCTTCATTAGTGCAGCTCTTTATCGACAGAAACTAGGGGCTGGTTACCTTGCAGGCTTGCCAGCCCTGTCACTCGCTCAGCCCCAGCTCTGCAATGCTGCTGACAAAAGTAAAAAATTGTTTTTCTCGGTAAACTCATCAAATGACTCAGAAAAACACTCTGCAAGGAGTTATTGGCTGATAGGTGTGGTACATTGTGTGCCCTCTGCTCAGTCACGTTTCTAACCATAACCACTTGAATAATTCTGAAAATCAAACACCAAGTACTGCCTTGTAGGGAGCGACAGGCCAAGCACGGCTCAGCTCAATGAAATGCAGCTTTTATTCAGCCCAGCACAGGAGATGTCCAAAGCCAAGGGAGCAAAACTTCCAAGATCTCTCCCTGAGCAGCGCACGGGGCTCTCAACAGCTTTAGGATCTCCCCTCATGGGCAGAGCAGCTCTTTTCCCAGCGCTGATGGGCTGCGGGGCTTCGAGAGCCCCTTGCAGAGTGTCCCCAACCCCAAGATGATGCCTGAATCATCCTGACTTAGGGCATTGCCCACAGCTGCCCCTCTGGGGCTGTTCCTGCCATTTCCCGTTACCTGCAGCCCAGCCCAGGATGTCCCCAGGTGCATGTGTCACCAGAAAGGAGACAGAGCCATCTCCCCCCGGGGGAGCGTCACTCCATTGCTATGGGTGGCCCCAGGCTCACCCCATCCTCGCTGGCCGTCCTTGGCCAAGTCACGGTCCCAGCCGGCTGCGCAGGGCTGCACGTCACAGAAAATGACACTGCCTCAGCCACCGCCTTCACGGAGCAGATGTGACACACATCTGCATGACTCACCAATGGCAGCACCGCCGCCAAGCCAGGATTTCACCCAAAGAGGGGAAAAAAAAAAAATAAAAATGCAAAAAAGAGCGCTTTTATTTTCCCCCTCCTCTAAGATTCACCTTTGTGGAAGGGGAAAAGCGTGGTGGAGGATCTTGTACACCGACATATCTGTTCTGCAGAAAACCATTGCTTTAGTCACCGGGGGGCGGGGGGGGGTTGAAGGTTAGATACTTGCTTCCCCTGTTTTGATAAAATGTGAACTCACATTTTGGTTATCATAAATGGCATCTTCCCCAAGGGGAAATGCATATTTTGGGCCTCCACAGTTTAATAATACAGATAAAGAGCTGCTCCTGCTAGTTTTTCTTCAGCTGTCCATCTCTTGGGTTTCAGCAGCCACCTCTGTGCCCAGGGGCTCCTCAGCCCGCAAAGCCCGAGCGTGCAAAGCGCGTGAGCAGAAAGTCACAGGTCCAGCCAAAGCGCTCAAAATCAGGCAAATGCATGAGTGATGCTGGGGACCGGCCCAGGGGTGTTCAACACACTCCTGCCTATGGCAGAAACCAGTTGGAAAATCGAATTCCTCTTGGGAAATCTTCACCCCAAAACTGCAACAGCACAGGAGTTATCCAAAAGGTTTAGTGGTCCCCCTGCTTGGGTACACGTCACTCTTTCATGACCATTTCTGCAAGATTTCCCAGTCAGAGAGTGAATTTTGACAGTTTGGGGTTTTTTTCTTTTTCTTTTTTTCCCACAGCGTTAAGGAAATTGGCTCTTTCAGCAGAAATGGAGGGAAAGCTGCCTGAAAAGCGCTGCCCTGCCATTGAAGGTGAACAGAAGCATCCACAAGAGAACAACGTAAAGCCCAACACCCACACTGAGATTTGCACCGGTCCCCAAACATGCATATATTTCAAAGACTCAAATCTGCCAAGGCTTTAATGAACAAAGTTTTTCAGTTTCCAGATGGTTTCAGAAGCTTTTTGATGTGGGCATCTGACATATTAGCAATTGGGCTTCTCTAAGCAAATGGCGATGCCAAGGTATAGAAAAGAAAAATGCTGAAGTACGGGCAAGATTTCGAGCTGCCCGAGAGGTGCTGGCCTGCAAGGCGGACCAGTGTTTCGCAGAGAAACGAAACTTTCTTGAAAGGTCTTTCCGAGGGAGAGAGCTGTGATCAGCGAACACGAAAAATGATCTAAGCAAATCAAACTTCCACTTTTAAAACCTGCAAGAATCTGCCATGCACCCATTCCCTGCAGAATTTAGATTTGTTTACTATGCTGGCTTCCAATTTTAAACCCTCTTCTCTCTCGCAATTAGCGCTACCATCGTAATTCGCATTACCAGCCATCGTGATGCTTCCCTGGCTCCCGCAGTCCTGGGGGACTCCCGTGGAGACAGGGTTACGCTGTCGACAGAGCAAGTTTGCACCTTGGGAAGTGGGCGATCTCTCAGGGAGATGAGACCGAGAACCAAAGAGAAGGCAAAAAGAAAATCAGCCAAAATGGAAGAAAACAGATCATTCCAAGGATAGGTGTTTTCCATAGCAAGCCTGGGGATCCCCAGCCGAAGCCCATGGATCATAGAATCATAGAATGTTTTGGGTTGGAAGGGACCCCTAGAGGTCATCTAGTCCAACCCCCCCGCAGGAGCAGGGACACCGCTAACTAGATCAGGCTGCTCAGAGCCCCATCCATGCTCCCATGACTTACAGTAGAGCTCGTGCGGGCAGTTCTGGGGTGCTGCTCCCCAGCAATGGGCTCCTCTTCGGAAAAGGCTCGTTAGCGGTCAGAGAACCAAAGCTCTGGTCTTTACTTTGAAAACTCAACTGAACAGTCACAGAAAATGGTATCAGTTACCAGGCACAACCACACAAAATAGGATGCTAGCACATGTGCAGCATTCCCAGGACTAACACCTGCACCCCTGGGCAAGCAAGAGGAGAGAGCAAGAGGCTTTAAGACACACCAGGCACAGCCAGCAAGGTCACTGCTCGGCAGAGGGGCTGCTCCTCACTGCAATATCAAACTACTTCCTCCTCCCAAGCTTCAGACAGAGCTTTGAATGGCGTGGCTTTCCAAATAACCCCAGTGAAGCCCGGGAGAAAGGAGAAACACACTCCCCATATGCTGCTGCCGCCGTCGCTGCCTCCGGGACTGGTGGCACCAGCAGCACCAACACCTCCAGGGCCGGCACTGGGCTCCAGGCAGCAGCATGGCAGATGCCAGACCACAGTCTGCTCTTCCTCCCATCCTTATTTTTGGAAGCACTAAAAACTGATGTGATAGCAAAAGTCACGCAGGGCATTTTTTTTAGAAAATTGGGCTTGGCCTGGGATTTTAGCAAGCGATCGAGCCGGCTGTCCCACACAGCGCCTGGGTTTGCCCAGAAGGGTGAAATGTGCTGATGGTGCAGGCAATAAATGATGCCTAATAGAGGAGAAACTGAGTGCTCACTGCTATCAGCTCAATTTTTGAATTATCTGGGGAACAAATGAATCACTCCAATAGCCAAGTCAGAGCTCTCATAGATTTAGCTTTCACCAAAACTGAAACTTATGTTTCAGTAAATTAGCTGTGGATTCTGTACATAACCCAGCTCTTAAACACAGGTTTCGGTTTTGGCTGGGTTAATATTGCCTTGAGTACATATTTACTCAGGACTTGAATCAGTCTCAATTTCACAACCATGAGGGGCCAAAGCTGGTTTCGTTGGTGCTGGATGCATGCGAACCCGCGCGGAGGCACCCCGACGACGGGCAGTGACGGGAGCTCTGCCGGCTCCAGCCCCAGCTCGAGGGCAGAGAGAGATGGGAGGGTAAGGACAGCAAAAAGAGCTCTTGCTGGCAAGTCACAGTCCCTTGGCTTCCCTACTTCCCGACCTTATTTGATAATACATGCCCCCATGGAAAGGCGAAAGCACAGGCAAGTCAGCACCGGGTGCCCTGCCAGCAGGGATTAGGACAAGCCCATGTTGGAAAGTCTCCTGTGCTGTTTTCCCACCTCCTGTTTGCATAATTCCTTTAATCCAGGCTGGCAGGCGTGCATCCCTCCCCACACGGGAGCCGCACAGCCATCCTCCCCTCCTGCAGAA